TCCTGCTACTTCAGCCTAAAAATTCGTCACGCATAGAAACCTTGCACACCGAGTCCGTGTGCGTATTTATTAAACCTTTGCGGGAAAAAACAAAAATACCAAATGGATTCGTCAAGCAGTGAGGCCCTCTCTCATATTGAAAAGAGAGAAGATAGAAAATATCCATCCAATCCTGAAATTGCGCCGAGAGGAAGGAGTTCATTATCAAGAAGTTGCGAATTTATCCTGAGCGATTCAAAATTTACCTCAGAATGTCAGCGGGACAGTTTGATGCTTTGCTAGCGATTCTGGAGCCACATATTAAAAACAAGACCACCAATTTCCGTGAACCAATCGATTCTGAACGGAGACTGGCAGTGTGTCTGGTATGGACCAGGTATGGACACACACAAACACACACACACACACACACACCCGCGCGCGGCCCTGTGGAAGCGCTGGGCAGACAGAACAGCTAGGCTGTTGTTGTGTAGCCTATGTATTGTGTATATTGTGCCCAAATAATACATTAGTTATCGAATAGGCTGCTCAATCACACCTTATTCGATCCTAAATTTCAATCTGATTGAAAGGGGAGGTTTATTAATTTCATAATCCAATATAGAGAAGAGAACATAAACACTTGATCGAATTGAAAACCGAAACTGAAAGCACGGCGCATAATGTTCAATGATTTGAGGACGAGCTCCCCCGGCCCTGAATTGTCAAAAGACCTCTCAAAATGCTGGCTCTGGATGCGAAAAACGCAGAAAATCGAACCATATCCGATTAATTTTATGACGGAAAAATGAATGGCCTTGTTTTTTGCAATCTCCGGTCACGTTTCCTTTTTCTTTCAAGTCTGGCCTTTTTTTGCGAGGAGGATGCATTCTCCTGTGACTCGGCATATGGTCCGCAACAAATAATAGAGCAAAAGAGCAATCAGCAATCATAGGAGTGCAATGCAGCCGTTTAAACTTGCAGGGAATGCGCCTCTCAATGTGACGTGACGATGGCTCTGAGTCTGAACGAAAACGCGTTGTGGAAACGCGTTTGGCTGGTGGTACTTTTTGACCCTCTCTGCTATTATAGTTTTCAAGATGGCGGAACGGACATGGAAGCCTCCGTGAACCTACCCGTCCCATGTACATAAAGATAATAAATTCTTCATTTACGAGGATAAGTCAGATAATTTGCAGAGGTATTTGTACACCATTGAGGACATATTTATGAATAAAAATATTGATTTCAGATAATAAAATACCTAAAAATCTACACAGAGTCCCTTTAAAAACTAAAAAGACGTGACATTTATCTCAGTGGTGTATAGTTTTTACCTATGTAATCTGATAACTTGACGTTCATTGGCCTGATTATGAAGCCTTCCCGAACAAGTTCCTCATATAGAGATTCTATGGTCCTAGAGAGAAGACAAAAAGAGAGGTAAAAAACAGAAAAAGCATTGCAAACAAGAGAGCAAACTGATCAGTCATGCTGTGTATCTGACGCAAATTTCTATTACATCACAGCGTTCGGAGCCAGCCGTGAATTCTTGTGCTCCACGTGGACGTTTGCCAGGCACCCCCTGAGCTCCAAACCCTGACACTCACTTGAGCACTTTCCTGAACTCTCACAGTGCACTGGTGTTTAACATATGACCTGCATCTCCCAAATATGCTCTTTTAGCAATGATTAAACTACATTTTAATATTCTTGAGAAATAGACTTTGCATTTTAAACCAGTTTATTTATTCAAACCTGTCAGCTGTGAGGTCCTTCTCTTTCTTCTTCTTCTTTCCAGTCTTCCGCCCTTTCTTTTTTTTCTAAAGCAAAGAAAATGTGTTTTTAGTTATAGACAACAATATAAAAAAATAATTTGGAATCAAGAATGACAGGGGAAGGAAAGTATGTGGCGTAGATATTATATTTTTCCTTTAAACCATTTTTCCAAAAAACATTTTTTCCTGGTTTTTAGATTGAAATAAGTCTTAACATTAGTTAAAGTGCGTGATTAGATTAGTGTCAGTTTGTAAAGGAAGTTTATTTTCCTTTTAACAACAAGGCATATCTACATGTCTGTTTCAGTGTATTAAATCTTCCAATCCTACAATGTAACATGTAAATAACAAGTGTGTGGCATATGCGATTGTATCCAAAATGTAGAAATTCGGAAAAACCTCTGGTGACTTAACATAAACAATCACTGTGTGGGATCAAGTGATGGTCTGTACATGTACACCCAGCACAGTCGTTTTTATGCTGCCTACTTGAGGAGACACCTTGGAACTTGCTGTAATTCAGGGCTTTTCAATCCACAAATGAACCAGACTAGCAGGATTAGCAACCAGGAATTTCCACGAATGATATGTAACCAATCGTTTTAAATATTTGTTCGGCGAGTAATACTTTGTAGAAACCCTCTTCATTTTCTCAGAAACTGGGACTGAACATACTGTGATTCCCCCAAATATTTTTATGGAGAATCTTGGATCATTTTTTTGGCATTTCTGAGTATGTTAGTTTAAGAAATTATGATAGGAAACTTTTCTCCTGCATTTATATAACAGACAGGATGAACTTCTGCTAGCATTAGCTCAGCTTGGGCGTTGCATGTTCATTTAACAAACAAACCCTCCCTGTTGCATAATGTTCAATTTGATGTTCCCAAATTGCATGGGTTCCTAAATTCACTGAACGTTTTTTAAAATTCCAACAAAGTTCAATGTGCAAACCTACTTCGATGAATTAACAGCTGGAATTCAGTTTTACGCCAGCAGATTTGAATAGGGTATCCGTGTGCCTGCATTTGCTGAGTGATTAATGATAAAAAACATCTTTGTGTATAAATTACACACATCGGACAGACAGCGTCTGTGACCGATTTAGCTGTCAAAACCTCTCAGCGTAAAACAACTCAAGCAGGGTGCCAAATATGTTGTTGAGGAATTCTAGCTCTTGTGCAGGCATGCAATGAGGCCTTTTTCTATGCTTCTTGTTTTGGAGAAGACACAATAGAGACTGATTGCAGGAAATATGGAGATGGATTGGTCTCCTATATATTCCCATATATTTATAGGTCACAGTTAAACAGAGCCACACACATATTCACATACATACACAAACAAAAAAATCAATCTTTTTATACAGTATGTATATTATTCTGTCTAAATATTGCCAGCGTAGTAATTGATGTCTTTACTTTGCAAATATAAATGTCTAGAATCTGCCTTCAAGATGTAAACACACTTCGATAATACTGCTTCCAGGTCAGCTTTTGTTTTGTTTCAGGGTAAAAAAAAAAAAAAAAATATATATATATATATATATATATATATATATATATATATATATATATATATAAAGTTTAAAATAATAAAATCATGACACATTATGAGTTGTAATAAAGTCACATTGTGAGTTATAAAAGTTCAATTATGAAAAGGATAGCAGCAATTGCAAAAAAAAAAAATAGTCCCATTGTTTTTTACTCTATAGGTTAAAGGGTTAGTTCACCCAAAAATGAAAATTCTGTCAGTATTTACTCACCCTCATGTTGTTCCAACCCCGTAAGACCTTATCGTTCATCTTCGGAACACAAATTAAGATATTTAAGATATTAAGATCGCTCCTGCATACAGTCCATAGGCTTCTTGAGGGACTGGCTCTTGCTGTCCCCGAAAAGTCATTAAAGACATCGTTAAAATAGTCCAAGTGACTACAGGGGCTCAATCTTAAGTTTATCAAATGACGAGAACACTTTTGTGCGCAAAAAAACAACAAAAATAACGACTTTATTTCAACTATTCGTTTATTTCTCCCTCTGCGCGAGTCAGGTTACTAGTTTAATAGCGTAAGCTTCTGTTATTGTACGTCACACGCATCACACACACATGAACAGCGTCGGCCAATAGTGAGCCTACGTGTGACGTAGCTTTACGCAATCACACTACGTTAACTGACTTACAGGCTCATGGAGAAGGAAGAGAATAGTTGAAATAAAGTCGTTATTTTTGTTGTTTTTTTGCGCACAAAAGTGTTCTCATGGTTTGATAAACTTAAGATTGAGCCCCTGTAGTCACTTGGACTATTTTAACGATGTCTTTAATGACTTTTCGGGGACAGCAAGAGCCAGTCCCTCAAGAAGCCTATGGACTGTATGCAGGAGCGATCTTAATATCTTAAATATCTTAATTTGTGTTCCGAAGATGAACGAAGGTCTTACGGGGTTGGAACAACATGAGGGTAAGTAAATACTGAATTTTCAGAATTTTCATTTTTGGGTGAACTAACCCTTTAAGGGTTCAGGAATAGAATTTACACTTTGTACAGTATAAAATTCATTATGCCTATAGAATGTCCCTAGCCTGGTTAAAACCATACCATTCTCAGTTGCAACTGAGTTATGGTCTGGCAAAGCGTCATAGACAAATCATTTCGAGAGGGGCGTCACCAACGGACGTCGCGGGTAGACCTAAAACCAATCAGAGCAATGAAGGAGATGACGTATGCAGAGCAGCGGCCGGTGGAGAAACATCTCCAAGTGTTGTTCTTTGCTCGGTTCAAAACGCTTAAAACAGACACGATAGCTGATTCGAATGAGTGATGTTCGATGGCGGCATCCATCCTACAAAAGCTCGTGTAAACCCCGCCCCATCGTTTCTGATTGGTGCCGCGATTTCGACGGATTGGAAATGGGCTTGAATGAGCTCTTTGCCAGACTAACTTTCAGAGCAAATCTAAATTTGACAGAAGTTGTCTTGGTTCCCTATCGAGGGAACTCAACACTGCGTCGATAAAATCGACTCTTTGGGGACGCTCCCTAAGCGTGCGCCTCTGAAGTATGAATGAAACTAATCCAATCCTGATTGGTGTTGCGTCGTGACGTAACATGTGACGGCATACCCGGAAGTATAAAAGTGACGCTGTCACAACACACACTAGCTTTCGCTCTTCAGCAAGCGCTTTATGTTGAAACTGTCTGTCTTATTTGGTGTTGTTTGTCTTATTATTGAAAGAAAGTATGGCCAGTGAACAATTCAAGAGGTGTGTGCATCCCTGCCCTCGTTTCATCACGGGTGGGGACGCACACTCTCTCTGTGTGTATTGTTTGGGAGTGCAGCACGCACGGGCAGCTCTCGAGGGGCTGCTTGTGAAATGTGTGAGGCTTTGCCTATTAGAGTGCTGCGCTCCCGGCTGGCGTGCTTTGACGAGCACGGTCAGGCTCGCGTTCCCCAGGGTTCCGGTCCCGCATATGTCGAGGCGATGCGGCGACTGAGATCCTGGGGTTCGCAGCGGGATCTGGCGGAGGAGAGTGAGAATGCTGAGGCATTTTCTCGCTCGCCATCGGCTGGTCCCGCAGCCTCTGAGAGTGGTGTGGGAGCCCGCGCTGCGGTTTCTCCTACCCGCGATCAGGTCCCGGTGCTTGAGCTGTCTACTTCTGAGGAAGGGGACGTGCTCAGCATCGATGCGGACGACCGTGATCTCAGCACGCCATCACGCGGCCTGGGTTATGAGGAGCTGGTGGAGGTTGTGACACGCGCTGTGGCCAGACTAAACATCAGCTGGCCACAACATGAGCAGGAAACGCAAGTCACCAGTAAAATGGACGAGCGTTACCTGCAGCGCAGGTCACAGCCTCACCGCCGGGGTCTGCCGTTTTTCCCTGATCTCCATAAAGAGATCTCGAGAACGTGGGAAAGACCGCATTCGTCCCGTATTTCGAGTCCCAATGTAATAGATTACAGCAATGTTATGGGGGCTCGAGATATGGGATATGGGAAGATGCCGAAGGTGGAGGAGGCTTTAGCGAGCTATCTCTCTCCCGAATCGGCGTCTTCCCTAAAGACCCCGGTGTTGCCTAGTAAGCCCTGCAGAGAGACATCTGCATTGGTGGGCAGGGCTTACATGGCGGCGGGTCGGGCTGGTTCGTGTCTGCACTCAATGGCGATTTTGCAGGCATACCAGGCCGACCTCCTGAAAGATTTGGATGAGGGGGAGGGGCCTACTCCTGAAGATGTCGCGGAGTTGAGGAAGGCCGCAGATTTGTCTCTCCGGGCCACTAGGGAAGCGGCCAGCGCTATTGGCCGCTCTATGGCGGCCATGGTGGCCACGGAGAGGCATCTGTGGCTGAACTTATCCGGTATTAAAGAAAAGGATAGGTCCTTCCTGCTGGATGCGCCGCTTTCGGCTTCTGGCCTGTTCGGCGACGCCGTTAATTCGGTTGTCGACAGGTTTCAGGAGTCGAGAAAACAATCTGCGGCGTTCCAGCAGTACCTCCCCCGGAAAGCGAAGGCCAAATCTAGTAGGGGGGGCAAAGCAATCAGCCCCAGCCATCAGCCAGCTCCTCCCACAGGGCAGAGCAGAAGGAGAGCGTTTCCTCTAGAGCCCCCCCTCCGGGGTCTTGGCAACAGAGGAAACGCTCCCAAAAACCGAAGTCCTCCAGCCAGAGGGGCGACCTGAGGGACGTCATTCAGGCTAAGAGGACTTCGGAAAAGAGGTCCTAGCCAAGGCAGGACTTCAGAGGGCTGCCCCCTCCGCAGTGAGACAACCGAGGTTGTTCTCACAACGGGGCCCTCTAGGAAAAGATGCAGGTCCGCCGTTAACAGCGCTTCGGGCCGCATCAATTTCCAGCGAAAAGACACCAGAGGCCAGCCTCGAGAGGCTGGTACCCTTAGCAGATTTTGTAGAGGGATGGTATCATCTTCCCAACATATCTCCATGGGTCCTGCAGATAATACGAGTTGGGTACAGACTGCAGTTCGCGCACCGCCCCCCCAAGTTCTCTGGGGTGGTGCTCACTGCGGTGGTCCCAGAGCAGGCTCAGGTGTTGGAACAAGAAGTACAGACTCTGCTGTCGAAAGGAGCCATAGAACGTGTTCTTCCGGTAGACAGGGAGTCCGGGTTTTACAGCCGGTACTTTATAGTTCCAAAGAAGGATGGGGGGTTAAGGCCAATTTTGGATCTCAGGGTGTTGAACCGGTCTCTGAGAAGGTTCAAATTCAGAATGTTGACCATTCCAACAATCGTGAGTCAAATCAGATCCGAGGACTGGTTTGTCACGATAGATCTGAAAGACGCCTATTTTCACATCTCCATCCTTCCTTGTCACAGGAGGTACCTGAGGTTCGCTTTCGGGGGCGAAGCATACCAATATCGGGTTCTTCCGTTCGGCCTAGCACTCTCTCCCCGCACATTTACCAAGTGTATGGACGTGGCCCTTGCTCCACTGAGACTTCAGGGGATTCGCGTATTGAATTATCTCGACGACTGGCTTATTTTGGCCCAGTCTCGGGAGATGGCAGTTCGGCATCGAGATGTCGTTCTTGGCCATATTCAAAAATTGGGGTTAAGACTCAATTTGAAGAAGAGTGTGCTAGAACCGTCCCAGGGCACGACCTTTTTGGGAGTCGTGTGGAACTCGATTACAATGCAGGCACGTATGTCTCCCGCACGTATCGAGTCAATTCTGGCGATGGTGTCCAGGGTGAGGCTAGGTCAGGCCGTCACTGTGAAACACTTTCAAAGGATGCTGGGCCTCATGGCAGCGGCATCCAACATTATTCCTCTGGGCCTCCTTCACATGAGGCCCCTCCAGTGGTGGTTGAAGACCAAGGGGTTCTCACCCAAAGGAAATCCGTTCCGTATGATCAGAGTAACGCGCAAGTGCCTTCAGTCTCTGCAAATATGGAAGAAGCCTTGGTTCCTATCCCAAGGGCCAGTGTTGGGGGTGTCATGTCGCCGGGAAACCGTTTCGACAGACGCCTCCCTTACGGGCTGGGGCGCGGTCATGGACGGCCGCTTTACCAGGGGTCTGTGGCAGGACCATCATCGCACTTGGCATATAAATTGCCTGGAGATGATGGCGGTATTCAAGGCTTTGAGGAGCTTCCTCCCAGACATCGAGGGTCGCCACGTCCTTATACGGACAGACAATACGTCAGTGGTGGCCTATCTGAACCGACAGGGGGGACTCAGATCGCGCCCTCTGTGCAAACTGGCGCATCAGATTATCCTTTGGTCCCAGGGAAAGATATTGTCAATAAGGGCAATGTATATCCCAGGGGTTCAGAATCGGGGAGCAGACATCCTGTCGAGGCAGGGGCTGAGGCCCGGGGAATGGAGACTTCATCCGGATGTGGTGAAGTCGATATGGGAGAGGTTCGGACCGATGGAAGTGGATCTGTTTGCGTCTCGAGAGACGTCCCACTGTCCACTTTGGTTCTCCCTCTCACATCCAGCCCCACTGGGGTTGGATGCCATGGTACAGGCTTGGCCGAGGCTTCGCCTGTATGCTTTCCCCCCGATCGCTCTGCTCCCAGGGGTCCTGGAGAGGGTCCGTCAAGAGGGCATCAGTCTACTTCTGGTTGCCCCGAGATGGCCGACACGAGTATGGTTCTCGGATATAATATCACTCCTCATAGCTCCGCCATGGCCGATTCCTCTGAGGAGGGATCTATTGTCTCAGGCGGAGGGCACAATCTTCCACCCTCGCCCAGAGTTGTGGAAGCTGTGGGTCTGGCCTCTGAGGGGGTTCAGTACCTAAATGCTGGCTTATCAGCTGAGGTGGTTGAAACCATACTTAGCTCTAGGGCCCCATCTACCAGGAGATTATATGGCCTCAAGTGGAAGGTGTTTCACACTTGGTGTGGAGAACGAAGGTTGGATCCAGTAAACTGCCCAGTGGCTTCAGTTCTGGAATTCCTTCAGGATCGTTTCTCTGCGGGTCTCTCCCCGTCCACTCTTAAGGTGTACGTGGCTGCCGTTTCGGCTTTCCACGCGCCAGTAGATGGTGGACCTCTGGGGAGGCACCAGTTGGTCATTAGGTTTCTCCGTGGTGCTTGGAGGATGAGGCCGGCGATCAGGTCCAGGGTGCCTGCCTGGGATCTGGCAATAGTTCTGGAAGGGTTGTCCCTCGCTCCCTTCGAACCTTTAGAGTCGGCTTCGCCTAAGGACTTAACGTTGAAAATGGTCTTTCTCTTAGCGATTACCTCTCTTAAGAGGGTGGGAGATCTCCAGGCCCTGGCGGTAACGCCAGCTTGCTTGGAGTTTGCCCCTGGCAAAGTAAAGGCCTTTTTGCACCCGAGTCCGGGCTACGTGCCTAAAGTTCCTTCGAGTACGGCTCGCTCTGTAGTCCTTCAGGCATTCCATCCTCCACCTCATGTGTCGGCGGGAGAAGAGAGGCTTCACTTGCTCTGCCCCGTCAGAGCTTTGAGTGTATACTTGGAAAAGTCTGCTTCTTGGAGAAGATCTGACCAGTTGTTAGTATGCTTTGGGTCACCTAAGAGGGCGCTCCCGGCGACCAAACAAACTATAAGTAACTGGATTGTCCAGGCTATTACTGAGGCTTACAAGGTGCGTGGGGTTCCTTCACCTTTGGCCTTAAGGGCTCACTCGACTAGAGGCATGGCTTCCTCTAGGGCCCTTCTGTCGGGAGTACCTCTGCAGGAGATTTGTGAGGCAGCCGGCTGGGCTACCCCGCATACTTTCATCAGGTTTTACAGTCTCAGCCTTCCCAGTACGCCCGGTGCACACGTACTCGGCCCTTGCTGAGTGCCTAATCAGTTTCACTCTGGGGCGGGTCTGTTCGGTGCGTGGCCTAGTGGGTACTCGTTCCCCAAAGAGTCGATTTTATCGACGCAGTGTTGAGTTCCCTCGATAGGGAACGTCTCGGGTTATGACTATAACCCTTGTTCCCTGAGAAGGGAACGAGACACTGCGTCGTGTTGCCACGCCCCTTTTTCAGACCCTTGAGCGTCTTGCTTCATCGCGAGGCCAGTGTGTGTTGTGACAGCGTCACTTTTATACTTCCGGGTATGCCGTCACATGTTACGTCACGACGCAACACCAATCAGGATTGGATTAGTTTCATTCATACTTCAGAGGCGCACGCTTAGGGAGCGTCCCCAAAGAGTCGATTTTATCGACGCAGTGTCTCGTTCCCTTCTCAGGGAACAAGGGTTATAGTCATAACCCGAGACGTTTTCCCAGGCTAGAATGTCCCCATAAAACATGGAAACTCAATGTGTGTGTGTGTGTGTACCTGGTATTCCCAACATTATTCGGACCAAATATCCCACAAGGATGATCATACTGGTAAATTTTGACCTTATGGGGATTTTTTTTTTTTGAGCATACTAAATTAAGTGTTTTAAAAAAATCTAAAAACGCTTTTCTGTTATTTAAAAAAAAAATCTAAAAAAGTTTTCTGTGATGGGTAGGTTGAGGTGTTAGTGTAGAGAGATATAATATACAGTTTGTACAGTATAAAAATCATTGCATCTAAGTAGATCCCCATAAAACATGGAAACCAGTGCGTGTGTGCGTGTGTGTGTGTGGTAGAGGAGGTGGGGAACAGGGGCCCTATCAAAACACAAGCTGACGAGGGCAGGACACCTTTACTAATTCTCTGTCCAGACCACATTCCTGGTCGTGAGGGCAGATCACTGTATGACCCCAGGGCCTCTCACACAAGGTGCATAAACAGAGGGCGGAGAGTAAATCTCAAGATCTGGATTCATCCAGGCTAAAAGACACATTACAGGGTTTTACAGACCAGTCACCATCTATAATCTGAGGAACATCAGGGAGCACTGAGCATCTGTACACTGTCACTCATGCAGAGAATTTCAAATGCGCTTAAAGTCTTATCTCATGTCTGCCATTCACCTTTTTACTACTTTTCTTGACTTTTTTCTTTTTCTTTCCCTTGTCTCTGTCCACCACCAGTTTAAGGTTCTTCAGTTCCTGCCTCATCAGCTCGTCCACCTGAGACAAATATAAAAACATAGATGGAGAAAGAAGAAAAACATGTGATGGAATGAATTGAGCCACAAGGAAAGCGAAAGAGCTTAAGTGTTTTGTTTTCATAGAGTGTTATGACTTTAAGAAAATGTAGTGCACTGCAGAAAGAGTGATGATTTCTTTACTCCCAACCAGGATTTGAATTCACGAGGGTCCGAGACAAAATTATGAAGCCTAGGGCCCCACTTCGCATATTATTGGCAGGTTAAAGATGTGTTTACGGGACCCCTTCATCACATGACCCTGATTCCCCCTCCTGATGACAGCTCTGCTCCCACCTGAACTCTGAGCTCCTCTTCAACTTCCAATCTCTTCTCCTCTCGCACCAACTGAGCATCGAAACTTTGAATGAAGTTCTGTTTTTCATCTCGGCAATGCCAAACGTCTGCAACGCACAACAAATCCACAGAGGATGTTGGTTTATGTAAAACTAAATTTCAACAACAGTGATAATATGATCATTCCACAGGGAAAACGCGATGGTTATTGACACATCTAAAATGACGAAGCATACAGACATTATCTGACATGTGAAAACAAACTTGAGTTGGACACAAAGCATCAAAGAATAGTCAGGAGAACATCAGTCAACACTGTGTGTAAAAAAAGGAAACAATTCTGAGAGGGGTCTGGAGGGCCTCGGTCGGACCTCCTGCGTGTGAAGCGTAGCGGAAGCACAGGTGCTGTAGTCTGGGTGAGAACGCAGCGTCTGATTGTACTCCGTGCTGCGCTCTCACGCGCCACATCCTGACAGGAAGTCCATTTCCACCCAATTCCTGTCCTGGCTAAAGGCAGTACGCCAGGTTGATTTGGAAACTGGAAGAGGACTGAATGGCAGGGTCTGACCACACAATGAGTCTTAAGTTGTTTTTCCCTGTTTTGTTCATTTGCATATCATAGAGACAAAAAACAGCAAACTTAATCTAAACTGGCCAGGACAAACATTTGTGAATGTTAGATATTACATTTGGCAGATGATTTTACTCAAAGCAACTAGCAGTAAATTCAACGTTGGTTTATATTTTTTATCAGTTCATGTATTTACCTGAGAATCAAATCCATGACATTGGTGCTTGCGCTACATAAACAGCAGGGTTGTGCACCTTTTAAAATTCAATCCATTTGAATTCATTTTTTAAATTCATATTCCAGTTTCAGTTTTTCAGGTGTCAGTCAAATTTCAGTTTTTTAAATTTCAATTGAGGCACCAAATAGGAACTAGACCCTAGTTGATCGAGTACATAAAAAATTTGAGTGAGAGCGCAATTCCAAAAAAGCATTGATGGGAGTGGAAAGTTATGCAAATTAACATCTGGTTTAAATCCTTTTTTGGGCGGTAAATAAATAGTGGCGCAAATACCAATAAATTGACTACCCCAAACCTTTGTAAATCACCTTGAAGGATTCATTTAAAATACTCTACTCCGATAAATTTTGCATCTGAACGGGAAACTCCTACAAATGCACATGCAATAAGGTCAGCCGCAAAAATAACCCTGTCCATGCCGTATCAGTGGTAATTTTTCACTGTGTGTCTTCAGTAAATCCTGACAGTAGTTTTTTAACACAAAAAGAGGGTTTGCACTGGTGCGAGATGTTACTAAATCTCGGCCTATATGTATATAATAATGATGTAAATTTGGAGCAATTGGGACTGATTTGGTGGCAAATTCCAGGTTTATGCGTCATTTGTTCTTGCAAGTTTATGGGTAACACTTTATAATAACTGCACACTATCAATCATTAGTTAAGCATGAGTAAACAGTTAATTCATCATTTATAAAACATTAATAGACATTAATATGCAGTTTATAAATATAGCTATACATGCTTTTTTCTTGATTTATAAGTATATCTATAATGTGTTTAATGATTGTATTTTCATACTTTGTTAATGATCAATTAATAATTTCTAAATGAAGAATTGCATTATTTACAAACCAGTTGTTTAAGAGTTGTCAGTCATTCATAAGATCACTTAGAAAGTGTAAGTAAATGTAGTAAATACAGGTAGTTATAAAGCATTTAGTAGTGGTCAGTTAACTATTTTTGTGAGCTAATCTAAAGTGAGGACTATTCATGCTTTGTAAAGCATTTATAAAGGTGATTTAAAGCCTCGTCAATCTTCTAAACAGTAAAATGTAACAAACACAACGCAGTGATACAGAACATAGAAATATTTAACAGCCTTTAAAAATGCTTTACAAGGCATGACTAGTCCTCACTTTAGATGAGCTCACGAACATAGTTAACTGACCACTACTAAATGCTTTATAACTACCCAAATTAACCCTTAATTACAGCATTAATACATGTTAATAAAGCATTTATTAACACATTAAGTTACCATCACTATATGTCTGAATAATAAGATGTATGAATGTACATTTAAATAGTTTATTAATCATTTACTCACTCCCTCTAAGTAATCGTATGAACCACTGAAAACTCTTAAATAACTGGCTCATAAAAAATGCAATTCTTCATTTAGAAATGATAAATTGATCATTAATAAAGGATGAAAATACAATTATTAAACAAATTATAGATATGCTTTTAAATCAAGAAGAAAGCATTTATAGCTGTATTTATGAACTGCTTATTAATGTCTATTAATGCTTTATGAATGATGAATTAATGGTTTACTCATGCTTAACTAATGATTATTAGCGTGTAGTTATTATGAAGTGTTACCAGTTTAGGTTGTGTCTGTAAACACAGATAGCTTCTATATACAGACCAGCTCTGATATGATCACTGGTTGCACTTCCTCAAACAAAAAGCAGTATCTAAGAACATATGACTGCTCTGTAGTCATGCAATTTTACCACAGAATGATGATAGAGAGGCCAAAATTCTGTACTGCAGCTTGAATGAAGCACAAGTAAAATTAAAAATAAATTAGGTAACACTTTATTTTGATGGTTCCTTTTGAATATTCTGTTGACTATAAGTAACTTAGCAACTACATGTCAAATAACTCTCATTTGAGTGTTAAGACTGTCTGCTTAAATATCTTCTGACTCTTTACTGTGTGCGGTCCTCCAACAGACATTCTTTTGAGTAGAAGTAACTTTGCAACTACACGTCAACTTATTTGAACCCTAACCCTACCAGTCTACTAATACTAACACTCTAATGAGAGTTAGTAGACGTATAGGTGCAAAGCTACTTCTAGTCAACAGAATGTGTTACAGGGACCATGATAATAAAGTCAAAATCAATTTAACACAGAAAAGGAAAGACTGTCAAGACAGACTCAGAACGTTGCCTTCAGTCTTTTTTTGTTTGTTTGTATTAGTTTGTATTAAAAAAAGTTAAAAAGTCACTAGACCCTGTTGGTGGCTTTTTGACTGATTGACCATGTTGAACCAGTGTTGGCCAGTCTCCGAGAGAGATCACTCTGATTGGCTGTTCAGCTTATTGAACCAATGAACAAGAATTATAGTTGAATTGATTGTGTATGAAGTGATTGTTTAATGACAAGAAGTCATTGCGTAATGATTGTGCAAATATGTAATATGGCAACGTAGCTAAGCTAATAATGACAGGACTACAAATTTCAGGCAAGTGTTTCCTGATGGAAAAATGTACTTCCTTTGGTGTGGACCTTGTGCTTTGCAAATCTGCAGATCATTTACATGCACAAACATCGATATTAAACACTAATGGAAAGGTGAAATAAAAAAAAAGCATAACAGGTTCCCTTTAGATTCTGAATTTCGAACAACACTAATAAGCAGTGTTGTCAAGTTCACACAGGGGTCAAAGGTCACTGATGTTAAAGCTCACTCTAGTGGAACCTAAAAATAAGCATCGGACTTTGAAATGAGATCCCTCGGTGAGGTCAGAGGTCAAACTGCCATCCACAAAGCCTCCTTTTCAAAGTCACATTTTCAAAACATCCCGGGGCAATACGATCCGTATAATTGCCTAGTTCCTTCAGAGGGATGCATTCACATAGCCTGGCCTGTTTGTTTAAAGACAACATCCACCTAACTCTCTTGAAAACACATGACTGTTAGGGGTCAGCATTTTAAACCTACTTTATTGGGGCTGAAGACCTGAGAATGGTCCAACCCCACACAGTGCAAGAAAAACAGACACTACTGTGGATGAACAGAAAAGCAACAACATTTCTCGTGACACGGCGGCCAGTTTTGTGGGAAGGGGGCGGCCACACACATCTGCTCTGAACATGGTGTATATACAGCACATTTGCCACCCACCATATGGGGATTGAGTGAAAAAACACTTCAGGGGCTGGAGGGCGGTCAGCTGTATCTACTCTGCTAGGCTCCGTGGCGACCTGTTATCTTCACGGTATGGTCTTTTGTACCATTTGTGAAAATTTGTATGCTGGTCAGTATACGACGATGGAGCTGCACTCATTCTGAAAGCCTGTTTTGCTTGTTTGTCCCGGTCATTCAGCTAACAGTGAGAAACAGACACTTCCTTAACACGGCTCTCCTGTGCCAAGAGACTGAAATGAAATCAATCAGTCACATCCAGCAAGTGCGGCATGACGTTGGGATGCAGGAAGGGAAGAAGGGGGGTTGGGGTTGGGGTTGAGTTGGGAGTGAGAGGGAAGCAAGCGCCAGACAAGACCAAACAGGCTCAATCTCAATCTTACTACAAATGACTTCCGTGGCCTCCCTATAAGCCACTCTCAACTGCTGTGCGAATGACTTTCCCAACAGAGCTTGTCCCTCTAGGGATCATGCTAGCTATGGTCTGATTCTGGGTAAATATGGTGCTCACCTTTCCGCCTCATTACAACTAAATAAACCCACCACATGATCATATCCCAATTACAGACAGCTGATAAAACAGTGTGCTGCCGATTAACTCCCGCAACAAAGACCCTCGACTCTAATTAGCTGTCTCACAGGCAGGATGTGGGACATGGGCTTCACCGTGTTGGTCTGCTATACACATCATACAAGAGTTCAGAATTGCTGATCACTTTGTTTACTGTGACAAGGCTGTTTTATTTTTTAAGTTAGGAGAAAAGTTTAATTTCACATGCTTTTAAAAAGAGTACTTATTATGAAGATACCATTTGAAAGAAAAACATGAACTGAATGCAATGTCTACATTCAGTTAATTGCATGGTAATTGCATGTAAATTAAGGCTATGTTTACACGGAAACGATTCTGAATAGAAAATGCAAAAGTGGCGTTGCGTCATCACTTTTATTCTGCGTTTAGACGATCGTTTTGTGTGGGAAATTCGTGTGCAAATGGTGACGCAAAAGTGTGTGAAATTCAATGTAGTATGCACTCCAGGCGGCTAGGAGCGCATACTACAACAACACCAAGTCCACGCGCCTGCGTACAACCTTCACTGTCAAGCAGACTTTTGCGTTTTTACCCTTTACACGGGAACGCGACGGTGGAGCGTTTTTAAGATTTCCACTCTGGAGGGTGGTTTCACTTTTTTGCGTTTTTAAGCCTCAAAAACGCCGTCGCCGTGTAAACGAAAGGCAAATCCGATAAAATATTTTTACGTTTTCCCTCGCGAGCGTTCTCGTGTAAACAGGGCCTAAAAGACATCATAGATTAAATTAAAAGCAATTAGCTGAACTGCTTTTAGTAGTACAATTTTATAATTTCCTAATTGCTTTTATGGTCTTTGAAATATGGTTAAAGTTTAAAGTGCCAGATGTACTGACAAGCATTTAGGGTAAAGTAAAATATACTTTTAATATACTTTTAAAAAAAATTGAAACTTGTTTGAAATGTA